AACAAAAATACTGTATTCACTAAAATGAGAAAATTGTAGTTATCAATACTTAATGAATTATTAGATAGAGAATGGAATGAAATCAATCTGACAGAGATCCATCTAAATTGTATAAGATATCAAAACAATCAGGCTGGTAGTCTTCGAAAAGTCATCAAAAACTAATTTATCGATATGAAAATAAACAAATCTGAGAAATCAACCCAAGGCACCTAAATATAAAATTACAAGGAGATAAGTAAAGTTTGAGTAAAATCAGTCTGTTACACACAAAGCGACAACAAATGGAAACCACTCACCCAGATACACCACTCACCATGGAAACCACTCACCCAGAGACACCACTCATCCAGGAAACCACTCATCCAGGAAATCACTCACCAGAGACGCCACTCACCAGGGACACCACTCACCCAGGAAGCCACTCACCCAGGGACACCACTCACCCAGGGACACCACTCACCCAGGGACACCACTCACCCAGGGACACCACTCACCAGGGACACCACTCACCCAGGGACACCACTCACCAGGGACACCACTCACCCAGGGACACCACTCACCCAGGGACACCACTCACCCAGGGACACCACTCACCCAGGGACACCACTCACCCAGGGACACCACTCACCAGACCAGGGACACCACTCACCAGACCAGGGACACCACTCACCAGGGACACCATTCACCTAGGGACACCACTCACCCAGGGACACCACTCACCCAGGGACACCACTCACCCAGGGACACCACTCACTCATTGTCTAAGCACTCACCCAGGGACACCACTCACCAGGGACACCACTCACCCAGGGACACCACTCACCCAGAGACACCACTCACCCAGGGACACCACTCACTCATTCTCTAAGCACTCACCCAGGGACACCACTCACCAGGGACACCACTCACCCAGGGACACCACTCACCCAGGACACCACTCACCCAGGGACACCACTCACCCAGGGACACCACTCACCCAGGGACACCACTCACCAGGGACACCACTCACCCAGGGACACCACTCACCCAGGGACACCACTCACCCAGGGACACCACTCACCCAGGGACACCACTCACCAGACCAGGGACACCACTCACCAGACCAGGGACACCACTCACCAGGGACACCATTCACCCAGGGACACCACTCACCAGGGACACCACTCACCAGGGACACCACTCACCAGGGACACCACTCACCAGGGACACCACTCACCAGGGACACCACTCACCCAGGGACACCACTCACCCAGGGACACCACTCACCCAGGGACACCACTCACCCAGGGACACCACTCACCCAGGGACACCACTCACCCAGGGACACCACTCACCCAGGGACACCACTCACCAGGGACATCACTCACCCAGGGACACCACTCACCAGGGACACCACTCACCAGGGACACCACTCACCAGGGACACCACTCACCCAGGGACACCACTCACCAGGGACACCACTCACCAGGGACACCACTCACCCAGGGACACCACTCACCCAGGGACACCACTCACCCGGGACACCATTCACCAGGGACACACTCACCAGGGACACCACTCACCAGGGACACCATTCACTAGGGACACCACTCACTCATTGTCTAAGCCCCCCCCTCAGACACACACTTTTTGATAAACAGTAGACATGCATGTACAATGTACGCCTAATCTAAAAATATTCTGTCATGTCTGATTTGTTATACGGAAATTTGCAATGGTAAAATTAAATTTATGAAATTTAACCGTCACAATATTAATCAAACAAAAGACAAAAATGTCTATTTTTTATCTGATTTATTTATGTTAAGTCTCTTATTCAACCCTGAATATTGTATTTGATATGGGTCCTATTTTGATTAAAAAAAAAATTAATATATTATTTAGTTTAATGTTAATTGAACTGAAAAATATGGGATCACTAAAGCCTGCATTGCATCCCTTCTAAGTTCAATATTCCATTTTACCCGAACCCCCCCCCCCCCCTCCCTCCTAAATATTAGCATACAGGCTTTACGTGACGTGATATTTGGTTTATTATAGTAATGTATTTTCATTTATTATAGTTTATTATTATTTATAGTTCCTCACTTCCTGGGCTCCCCCGTGGTCGAGCTTAAAATTCCTAGCTTAGAAAATCCAACAATAAATGGAATACATGTAGACTAATTTGAATATAAATATACAACTCATATAAATTAGTGGTTTCCTAGAAAACTGGGCTGGGCGAGAGGAGTTGGAACAACACCGGAGTTAAAAATAAATAATGTATGGTAAAAATAAATAAATCATTTCCAACTTTTCAATAATTGTACAAAGCATTTTGTATGCTATCAAAATTGAACCGATCTATTTCAAATTACATGTAATTACAAAAGTTCATCTAACACTTGAGAAGTGATTTATGATACACATTAATCAGACAATGTCATAATTCACACAAATTTGATAAATCCGGGAGCATACGCACAGGGTTTTGTAATGTTTCTAAGTCAGTATTACCAAGGCAATGCGACAATTGCAAGCTTATACAGGTCTCATGCCACTAATCAACCAATCACATTTTTATTCTCCTCTTGTCGCTGATTGGACGCCACAACATTTGGTCATGTGGATAAAAGGTCATCTCAGGACAGTGCCCACTTTATTAGCCAATTAGCGGCAAGTGGGCGTTGTCTTGACTTGTCAATAATTTATTTATTTATAAATATTCAGGATTTAATTACTGATTTTTTTTATTTGAGCATATTTTCACAGTGTTTTTTTTTTTAAAGTAATTACGAATTAAATTAGTGAATTAGGGTTCGGACAGTTACTTTGGCCTAGGGTGAGTCGGTGGATCAGTGGGGGGGGGTACCCTGTTTTTGATTTTGCAAATAGGGGGGTCACCATGTTTTTCAGAAATCACATATGCATATATTTTTAAAAAAATATTTCAGAACAACAGATAAAAAAGTTAATCATACAAATTTGTTCTCAATAATAACTATTACCTATATTGCCTATAAATTCTTTGATGAAAACAAAGTTATAGGCTAAATATTTTGGGTTGAAGTTGCTAAGTAACAGATTATGCAATGCGTCTTGAACCCCAATTATACTGTTAAGTTTTAAACACATCCCAAGTCCATGTGCTGCTGATATCAGATTATTTTATTTAAAGTCTGAAGTCACCATTGTACAAGATATTTACTGGATTTATCCAATTATAACAGGAG